AAAATAAAATACGGTGAATAGAATAGAACAAAATAAAATAAAATATAGTAAATAAAAATAAAAAACAAAATGCAGTGAAGGGAACAAAATAAAGTATAGTAAATAAATAAAGTTAAAAATAAAAAATATAAAAATATAAAAAATTTTTAAAAATAAAAATAGAGTAGAACAGATTAAAATGTAATTCAGTACAATTCAATAGAATACAATAGAAAAGTAAAGTAAATTTAAATAAAACAAAATAAAACAAAATAAAATTAAATAAAATTAAATAAAATTGAATAAAATTAAATTAAATAGCCTCTGGCTGCCTGAGTCGGACACAGGAGGTGACACAGCTCAGGAGGGACACAAGGACCCTCACCAGGCTCTCCGAGGGCTCCACATCCCATTTTCCAAGCCACCCAGGACCCCGTGGAGTCTCTCACTGCAGGAAAACTGTTGGGAGTGCAGGGAATTGCAGGATTTGCTTTTCCAGCAGTGATCAGAGCTTTCCGTGCCCTCCTCCTCAGAGAGAACGGGCAGAACGGGCCAGGAGGAGCTTTAGGGAGAAGGAAAAATATCAACATTGTGATAAATAAATGTAAAATATAAAATATATTGTATAAAAGTATAGCACATGGAAGACATTACGTATTTTATATAATACATACATCAGACATTACGTATTAAATATAAAATATAATACACAGACTGTGACATATTTATTAGAATATAAAAATAATATGTAGAACAAAATTGTGTATATCTATATATATAATTTTCTATTATTTTATTATTTACACTATTGCCAGAACTGGGAATGGGATGGGATCACACAGCTTTTGGGGGGTGAAGCCCCCCATGCGCTGGTGACATCAGGGATGGTGGGACACGCGTGGGGGGCTCTGTGGGGACACGGGGAGGGGTCCCGGCTGGATTCCCACCACGCACTGGGAAGGCTCTCCCAGAATGACCAGGCTGAGGTTTGGACCTTCCAAAGGGCTTTTTCCCAAAAAAAGTGCTGTGAGGTCTGACATTCTTGGTCGTTGCCTGCACCCTCTGGAGCCAGGCTGGGAGAGCAGGGAAGGGCCATCCTGGAGAAGGGAAAGCTCCAGGGAGACCTGAGAGCCTAAAGGGGCTCCAGGAGAGCTGGAGAGGGACTGGGGACAAGGCCTGGAGGGACAGCACACAGGGAATGGCTTCAGATTGGAGAAATGGAGATTTAGGTGGGAAAGTGGGAAGGAATTCCTGGCTGGGAGCGTGGGCAGGCCCTGGCCCAGGTTACCCAGAGAAGCTGTGGCTGCCCCTGGATCCCTGGGAGTGTCCAAGGCCAGATTGGAGCAACCCCTCACCCTGTGCCCTCCCAGCCAGATGTCCCAGCTGTCCCCAGCATGGCACATCTGGGAATTAATCCTCCTAGGGAAGGGATGTCCTTGCTCTCTCTCTCTCTCCTTCCAGCCACACTCTGGTAGGAAACAAGATATTCCCGGGGGATGTGACACCTCCTCCGTGGATGCTGGAGAGGTGCCCACCGGGAATGTCCCAGCGTGGTCCTGCCTGGCTCCTCCAGGCTGAACTGGGAAGGGAAGGGCGTCAGTGCTGCGGGACCAGCGCGAGAAAAGCAAGGAAGCTGCTTTTTTTAGGGAAGGAAAAGCTCATCAGGAGCAATTTGGCAAAGCCGTGGTGGCCGAGGGGGGCTGTGAAGGAAAGCAGAGTGAGGGAGGAGGAGGAGGAGGAGCTGGGGGGGTGAGGAGGGAGGCTGAGGCTGGAGGGGAATTACTCATGGATCTGTCAAGGGCTGCGTCTGGCTGAGCTCATCCGCATCCTCCGAGAGGGACTCGGGGCTGAGCATAATGGAGGGTGAAAAGGACAGGGAGCCACTAATTAGGGACAAGTTGTAGATGAACTTCAGGCACCGAGGCAGACGTGGCCCCGCTCCTCTGACGTGTCACCGGGGAAGGGCTCCTGTCACCGGGCCAGCCTCGAGGGGACAGCACTCAGTGCAGGGTGGCGGGCACAGGGAACAGCCACGAGGGGAGTGCGGGATGGGAGAACCTCCTGGGAGAGCGTGGGATGCAGAGGGAGGGCAGGGAGGGCCCCAGAACGTGTTTCTGTCTGTGCCTGCTGGTGAAGGTGCATGACCCCATCAGCCAGAGCTGGTGGCGGGACTGGGAGCACAGGATATTCCAGCTGGGAAGGGGCTCGGTGCTGGGACAGGCTCCCAGCAGCAACACTGGGAAGGAGGAACCCAATGGATCCTCTTCCCTCCACCCTTCCACACTGGAACCCCATGTCAGAATCATCACAGAGTCATGGAATGGTTTGTGTTGGAAGGGACTTTAAATCCCATCCGGTCCCACCCCCTGCCATGGGCAGGGACACCTTCCACCAGCCCAGGGTGCTCCAGCCTGGCCTTGGACACTCCCAGGGATCCAGGGGCAGCCACAGCTTCTCTGGGCAACCTGTGCCAGGGCCTGCCCACCCTCCCAGCCAGCAATTCCTTCCCAATATCCCATCTCTCCCTGCCCTCTGGCAGTGGGAAGCCATTCCCCCTTCCACTGTCACTCCATGCTCCTGCCTTGATGGGTTTCCAGCCGACACCTGCTGAGCCCACCTGATGTCCCCAAGTCCTTGCATTCCCTGAAACCCCGTGGCTGTTCCCGTTTCCTGCACCAACTGTGATACTGCACAGTGGGATCATCTGCACTTGCTTCTTCCTGTGGGATTTGGTCCTTCCTCCTGGATGCTCAGGTGGCTCCTGCTCTGATGTGTCGGGGCTGTGGCTCTGCTCAGGTGGCTTCTTCTGACAGCAGTGAGGGAGGGAACCGATCCCCTGGTGCCAGGCTGGGTATTGGGAAGGAATTGCTGGCTGGGAGGGTGGGCAGGCCCTGGCACAGGGTGCCCAGAGAAGCTGTGGCAGCCCTTGGATCCCTGGAAGTGTCCAAGGCCAGGCTGGGCAGGGCTTGGAGCAGCCTGGGATGGTGAAAGGTGTCCCTGGGCAGGGCTTGTGGCAGGGGGGCTCTGGAGCATCCCCTGGTTGGGGGCTCAGGGCTGGAAGTGCCCCTCAGAGAGTGGGATCCAGCACATCCCATCATCTCAGATCTCCCCAGCACAGGGATGGGGCAGCTGCACCCAGGAGATGCCAGACCTGATCCATGGGCTCTTCCTGCCCATCCTCAAGGACATAATCCCACTGATGGGGTTTTTTTGAGCTCCTGCTCTTCCTGCCTGGGGGATGTTTGGAGCAGAGAGCGCCAGGGCTGTGTGTTCCTGGTCGGGTTTGTGCTGGACCTTGGTTAAGGTGCCCCTGAGGAGCTGGTCTGAGGGGCTCTGTGGGCGCTGTTTGTCCCCACCACCTGCGTGTTTGGGGTCTGCACTCCCCAGGATTCAGCACCTCCAGGAGGTCCCGCCCGAGGAGGTGGTGGGATGGTAATTCTGGGTCAGACCCTGCCCAGGGACACGGGATTGTGCCCAAACCCACCCCAACTGCCAGCACGGAGTGACATGGGGGTGGAGTGGTGGGGACATCAGCCCCGGGGACCCGGTCGGGCTATGCCACCCGCCCTGGTGGCAGGGAGGGACATTCCCTGTGCGGGCTGAGGCGAGTGGGTGCGTGTGGGCAGGGGATGCCCGTGACAGCTTCCACGTGGGACAAGGGGTGTAGGGCCTGGGCTGGCAGCACCAGTGGTCCCCGGAGGTGCTGGCCCCGCGGTCCTGGTGTCCCCCATGGCCCAGGAGCTCCTCCCCAGCCTCCAGCCGCCCGGGCCGGCGGCAGCTCCTCTGTTGTGTCCCTGGGAAGGGGCCGGGGCGCCGGGACCTCCTCCACCCCCACGCTCCATTAGCTCTGCACTGTGGCTCTATTGTGCTGGGGACGCGTGAGGGCCGTGCCACCGAGGGACTGTCCTGCCCCAGCGAGCTTCCGATGACTCCGAGGGGTCCGAGACCTGCTGGCCCCGGAGCAGGGGGGACGCAGCCCGGCCGTGTCTTACCCCGGGGTCCCGCCGGCCTCGGGCTCGGCCCCGCTCGTGCCGCCCCCGCCCACCGCGCTCTAATCCGAGTGTCTTCCCATCCGTCTCCTTCCCTCACCTCCGTCTCCGTCCGTCTGTCCGTCCCTCACGCCTCTCTCTGTCTCTCTCTCTGCCTCTCCTACCCCTCTGCTCTGCCAGGGAGGGAGGGAAGGGGGGGCTGCCCTGCCAGCTCAGGGGGCGGGGGCAGCCGCGGGCTGGGGCACCCGGGGGAGGCAGCGGCAGTTTTGGGGCGGGGGGTCCCGCGGGGCCTCAGCCTGGGCTCGTTGCTGACCGTGGCCGAAGGCAGATTGGGTTGGGGGTGTCCCCAGCTGGGTCCATGCCCGGGGATCCAGGACCACCAGGAACCACCCTGTCCCCTCACGCAGCACGGCCGGGGACCCTCCCCCTGCCCCGGCGAGGGAAGAGTATGCGGGTGGGGGACACAAATTCGAGTCTGATGAGCATCTCCGAGGAGAATCCAGCACATCCCGTAGCTCAGCGTTCCCGGGAGAACCAGCACAGGGCAGAGCTGGGCACGGCGCGGGGGGCTCAGCCCCGGGCTCTGCGCTCCTGTCCCCAGGGTCCCATCTCTGGGGTCCCGTCCGTGGGGTCGCATCCTCAGGCTCCTGCCCCTGGGATCCCATTCTCGGGTTCCCAACCCTGGGCTCCCATCCCCGGGGTCCCATGCCCAGGCTTCCATTCCCAGGAGTTCAGTTCCTGAGCTCCCATCCCCAGGGTCCCATCCCAGACTCCTGTCCCGCTCCCTGCCGGCACTGCAGGAATTCCGCTTTCCCTGGGAGCGGTAGGCGGGGGTGGCTCTGCGCAGCTCCCCCGGCGGAGGATGGATCTCGCTTGGGCGTTTATTTTAATACGTCTCTCTCTCTTTCTCGTATCTCTCGCTCTCTCCTGGTTCTCGCCTCTCTCTCCCCGGCCCCCCCGCGCTCTCTTTCCGTCCGTGCCTTTCTGTCCCCGCTCCCTCCCCATCCCGTCCTCCCGCTCCCCCTCCCCCAGGTCAAGGTCTGGTTCCAGAACCGGCGCACGAAGCAGAAGAAGGACCAGAGCAGGGACTCTGAGAAACGCTCCTCCGCCACCTCCGAGTCCTTCGCCACCTGCAACATCCTCCGGCTGCTGGAGCAGGGCCGGCTGCTGTCGGTGCCGGCCCCCCCCAGCCTCCTGTCCCCCGCCTCCAACCCCATCTCCAGCCCCGCGGGCAACGGCTCCGGCCTGGCCACGCCGGGCCCCGCGTCCCCCGGGCTGGGCGGCGGGAGCAGCCCCCCGGCCCCGGGAGCCTTCAGCCTGCAGGTCCCGTCCCTCGCCTCCTCGTCCTCCTCGTCCTCCTCGCCGCGGCTGCCGGGGGGGCCGCTGTGCTTCGGGGGGCCGCTCCTGGGCAGCCTGCACGACCTGCCGGGCGCGTACGGACTGGGCACTTCAGCGTTCGAGCCTTACACGCGGCTGGAGAGGAAAGACAGTTCTATATCCAGCAAGAAGCCGAGCTCTTAAATCAAAATGAGTGTCAAAAGGTGTCGTCCCCCCCCCCACGGCGTCCCCTGCGACCCCCCCCCCCCCCCCCCCCCCCCCCCCCCCCCCCCCCCCCCCCCCCCCCCCCCCTCCCGCCCCTCGCCCCCCGCGCCCCGGCTCCGTTCGGCTCGTGGGATGCAGGAGATGGTTTGTCCCCCGTGGGAATGTGCAGGCGCGGGGGGGCCCGTGCACGCCTGGCCCCCGCCCCAGACACACCGCTGGAGCCGTGGATGTCCCCCCGCAGCTCCGGCGCTGCCCCGGTCACACACGGGCCGTCCCTGGGGGTCCCGTGTCCCCCGTGCTGCCCCGTCCCTCACTGACGCCGCTGGATCTGCCACCACAGCCCCGCTCCAGGTACCGCCCGCGGTCTGTGCCGGGACAGGAGCAGCTCGAGGGGGGTCGGAGGGTCGCTGCTGCCCCGTGGTCCTTCGGTGCCTCTTACGGATGGGACCGCGGAGCTCTGATCCCCCTGGACTGTCCCCCCGCGGCCTGCGGTGCCCCAGGAGGGCACCCCAAAAGGGAGAGCGCAGGGTGGCCCCGGGCTGTGTCCCCGCCCGGCCGGGGTGTCCCTGCATAGGACAAGGGTCGTGCCTCAGTTTCCCCACCTGCAAAGGGCTGTGTGTCCTGCCTGAGATCTCCTCGCAGCATCCCGGTGGCCGCGGGCTCCAGGCGCTGCTCTCATGGGATGCTTGTCCTCCGAGGGAACAGCTGGGGGAGGTCCAGGGGATCTGGTGGGGTGGGTGATGTCCCCAGCCCCCCCCAGGGGTCCCTGCGATCGGAGCAAGCAGCTGCCCCGACTCGTGGGACACCCCCGGCTCCTCCTCTGCTTGTGCAGAGCCAAACCACCGCCCTGCATCGCCCTTTAGGGCCGTCCCACCCTGGAAACCCCTCAGGGACCCACTCCGACCTCCCCGAGGGGGCTGGGGCGAGCTGGGGACCGGCACCCCCAAGGAGATCCCCCCGAGAGGGACGCGGCAGAGTGGACAGTTGTGACATTGGGATCTGCCCCTCTGGGTCGGGTGGGGCCACGAGGGGGTCTTTGCCACGGTCGGGAGCCTGAAGCAGCCCCAGACCCACCGTGGGGTGCTGAGCGCTCAGCGCGGGCACTGCAGGGAGCCCCACCCTGAGCACTGGCCTTGCAGCACCCCCCACACACCTCGATCCCACCCCCGGCAGCCCCAGGGTCCATCCCGGAGAGGTGCTGAGCCCCCCCGGGCAGCCTCTTCCCAGCCGGGCGCCTGATCCCGGAGGTGTCGATGGCTTCCCGCGGGGCAGGATCCGGCCTCGGGCACGATGTGGCTCCGCTGGGGCAAAGGACCAGAGGGGCATTGCATGAGGTGGCCCTTGGGGACAGGGGTGGCGTGGGCCCTCTGGCACCTGCTGGGGCAGGTCCGTGGTGTGAGCAGGGCCTGGGCAGGACGCTCTGCGGTGCCACCACCTTGGCCGGGTACCCTGTGGTGCCATCACCTTGGCAGGAGGCACCTCCCTCTCCAGGTACCCTGCGGTGTCACCACCTCGGCGGGAAGCTCTGCTGTCACCACCCTCCTGCAGGGACAGCGCTGTGACAGGATCGGGGGGACTCCCTGAGCCCCCTCCCCAAGCCCAGGAGCTGCCATGGGGGCCCACACGCCCCACACGCGCCCCAAACCCGGGGACTCCAGCCCCCTCCCGCCGCCCTTTAACGATTAACAATGATAATTAACACTGAGCGTCCCCCCCCCGGGCTACTGCTCCGTCGGGACCGGTCCCTGGCGGGGACACAGCTCCCAGCCCGCGCGTTCCCAGGGTTTTGCAGGGAAATATTTAAAATAAATGATTTTATGAGAAGGTTTCGGTGATTTTTATTTTTTCCTCAGAATGGAGCCCTTCTCTGGAACAGTATTTATTGTTAGCTCCCCTTGGAGCTCTAAAGGGAAGCTCGGGGGGGGGAGGGTCGGCACCCCCAGCGCAGGTGGGAAACTGAGGCAGGAGCAGAGACAGGGTTTGGTTGGGGGTCCCGAGCCCCCCCGAGCCCCCCCGAGCCCCCCGGCTCAGCCCGCGGCTCGCTGCCAACACCTCCGTGCTTCTCCCTGGAATCCCGGGGTGCTCCGACACCCCAACGCTGTGTGTGAGTTTTGGGACTTGCCGGGACCCTTCTCCCTCCCCTCCTCGTCACTTAATTTATATTTATCCCACCGCTCCCACCCTCCTCCCCCCCGGCCCCGGCGTGCGGAGGGAGCGGGCGGAGGGGCAGCCGTGCCCCCCGGCCATGGAATTCTGCCCTCAAACCCCCTCCGGGACTCGCTTTGCTTTGGTTTGCCCTGTTCCAAGCCGAACCTGGTCCTAGCCCAGTTTGGTTTTGGGAGGGTCCCTGATGTGTTTTCCCGGCTCGGAGCGCCCCTGTGGCTCTCCCTCACCCTCCTCCCGCCGCTCCACATCCCGAGGGATCCGCGGGAAGCACAGCGGGGAGGCCGCGGGCTGCTCTTTCCGCCGATTGAAACCCAAATGCTGCTCTCACAAAGGTCCCAAAGCGGATCCAAAGCTGCTGCTCGACCAAAGCGAAGCTGTCCCGGGGGGCCTGGGGGGCCGTGGGGACAACCGTTCCCCCCAGTTCATCCCACTCCAGAGGCTCTTCCAATGTGGGGGGATTGGGGGGAAAAGAGGGTTAAAATCCCAGCAACTACTGGATGTAAAACTTTAAGGAATAATGTGGTTTCTTATGGTTTCCAATGGTTAATAAAAGTTATGTCCTGCCTGCTGCCTCCTCCTCCTCCATCGCCTTTGGGATCCAGGGCTGGGAATCCCTCGCCCCCGGCTCCGGGTGCCACCAGCCTCGGGAGTGTCCCCAGCCTCGTGGGTGTCCCCAGCCCCGTGGGTGCCATCCCAAGGTGGCATTTCAGAGCCCACCGTGTCTTGCTCTCCTCAGAGCCCCCCGAGATTGAATCCCCCCCGTCCGGGGACACCTCCACTAACGCCCCCAGAATGGATCCCCCCCGCGGGGATACCTGCACCACCCTTCCCCAGCAGTGTCCCCAAACGCCCCAGCCCCTCATCCTTAGCCAACCCGGCCCTGCTCCCAGCCCTCCCCTGCCTCTGGGGGGGTGCACCCACTGTGCTCCCGCCCTCCCCACCCCCCCCAAATTACCTCCTCCCCTACCCCTGGCACTGCCTCGAGCTCCACCTGTCCCCAGCCCTGTCCCGTCACCTGTCCCAGCCTTGTCCCCACCCCACCCCTACTCCCATTTCCGTTCCCCTCCCCATCCCTATCTCTACCCATATCCCTATCCCCATAGCGTTCCCTACCCTTTATCCCTATCCCTGTCCCTTGTCACGATCCTTATTCCTTACCCCTATCCCTTATCCATTTTCCCTCGTCCTTTCTCCCTATCCCAACCCCCATCCCCATCCCTGTCCCTACCCTTATCACTGGCCATATCCCTATTCCCAAACCATTTCCTAGCCCTTATCCCTGCCCCTACCCCTTATCCCTATCCTTATTCCTTATTCCTTATTCCTTATTCCTTATTCCTTATTCCTTATTCCTTATTCCTTATTCCTTATTCCTTATTCCTTATTCCTTATTCCTTATTCCTATCCCTTTTCTTATCTCCCACCCCTTTTCCCTGTCCTGTCCCCCTACTCCTTAGCCCTGTCCCTATCCCTTATCCCTATCCCATTCCCTATCCCTAGTCCCTCCAGGGACCCCTAATCCCCCAGGTGAGGGGCTGTGGCCGCTCCCTCCCGCTGTTTACAGCCAACACGGGGCTGTCGGTGCCACTGGTGTCCCTTGTGCCGCCTGTGTCACCAGTGCTGCCGGTGCCACCTGTGTCGCCGGTGCCTCAGGTGCCTCCGGGGCCGCGGGCGGGGCCGCCCGTGCGGGCGGGACCGGCAGGGGCCGGGCCGGGGGTTACAAAGCCCGGGGCGCTGGCGCGCCCTGCCCGGCCCCGCCGTGACCGTGCCCGTGCCCGTGCCCGTGACCGTGCCCGTGCCATGGCTGCCACCAAGGCACCGGCAGCGCTGGCGGCAGCCCGGGAGCACGGGCTAGCAGTGACCCGGGACTACAGCAGCAACCCCCGGCTGAGTGAGTGGGGGGCGCGGGGGGACAGGGAGGACAGAGCGCCGGGGGAGGGCACGGCACCCCCGTGCCCCAGAGCAGGGTGGGGCCGTGGGTACACCGGGGTGGCAGGGACGAGTGGGGGACACAGGGCAGAGGTGGGTGGGTGGGTGGCACTGGGTCAGGAAGGGATGGAGGTGGCACCGGGACAGGCAGGGGGGACAAGGGTGGCGCTGGAACAGGCAGGCACGGGTGGGTGACCCCGGGGCAGGAAGGGACGGGTGGGTGACACTGGGGCAGGCAGGACTGAGTGGGTGGCACAGGGGCTGTGTGTGTCTCTCGGGGAGCACAGGGGCTATATAGGGCTGGGGGGGGGTCCCCCCTCCTGGGGTCCGCACCTGCAGGGGCTGGGGACGGTGTGCCGGGCCCCCGAGGGCTGTGGGGTGCGCGGGGGCTGCGGTGACCCCACAGGGGTGCTGGGGTGCCCCAAGTATCCCTCTCCCCGCCCCGACAAAGGGAGGACCCGCCAAGGTGACCCTGGGATGAGCCACATGTGTGGGGGGTGGGGACATGTCCATCGAGGGGACGTCGGTGTGACATCCCTGGGACTTTGTGTGACATCCGTGGGTGCTCCGTCCATACCCCTGTGCCCCCCCTCTGGCTCCGGGGGGGCTGGGGGCTCAGCGCTGGCACCCTCAGCCCCTCACCCTGGGCTGCAACCCCGTCCCACCCCGACCTCGGGGAGCCTGGCGTGGTGCCAGCCCCACATCGAGGGGTGGGTGAGCCCCCCTCCCGCACCCCGTCCCCGACCACCCACGGGGCCAAGGACGTTTGCTGTGACCTTTGTGCCTTCGCCGCCGGGCCGGGATGGCTGGAGGGAGCCTGAAAGTCACCTCCCTGGATGTCCCCTCGCTGGTCCCGAGCCGGGTGGCTCCGGGCTGGCACGGCCGCGGCCGCTCCCTCCCAGCCCGGCCGGC